CCAGCAACGACTCCCCAGAGGACCATTCTAGCCCAGCTCCCCACCTCCCTGAAGTTCATCCTAACATTACGCCCTCTGTCTTCTATGTGCGATGACACACAAGAGCTGGTGTCAAAGTTTTTTAGTAAAATGCCTACAAATGTCAAGTTCGCCCTTCATCATATCTTTTGGTAGCCTTTACTTAATGAGCTCATGTAAGGACTCCTTCAAGTGTTAAGGAGAAAAACCCGTCTCCAAATTAAGCTCTATGTTTTTCACGAGAACAACCCTCTTTACCTTGGAATCTAAGAGACTTCAAGACCAGTCTGGGTTCAGACGCAGATGTCCTCATCGGATCCCATCCCTCTCCCGTTCCCTCACACCTGGTTTCAGAGTTGTTTCTGTCTCTATCATAAGCGCATCCACGTGTATGTCTGTATCCTACTTTCGGCTATTCTCTGTGAGGTATAATTATTAAACTTGGAGCCCACAAGAAACACAATCTACATGCTGGCACTGAGATCACTGAAGGTCAGCTAGAACTATTTGTTGGGGATCCACAGAGCCTAGATCCTATGAGCAGGAGCACCCGAGTCTGTCAGGAAAGTATGAGGGTTTCCTATTACAAATATTTTGAACTGAACCTGGGACAAAGTGAGAGTATAAAGTGGAAACAAATTTTTCCAAGGAGGAAAGGCAAGGGCAGGGGAATCAAGTATGATATTCAGGAACATACACACCATTCTCCTAAATAAACTGGCCTGCCATTGCCTATATCTTGCACCTTGATAAGCATAAGAAGTTAAGAGATTATACAAATTTTCTTTTTTTTCCCCCTTTATTTATTATTATTCTTATTGCCCACAGCACCGGGTCTTCCTAAGTGGTCTTCCATCCAAGTACTAACTAGGCTCGATCCTGCTCAGCTTCCGAGATCAGACATCGGGCTTGTTTAGGGTGGCATGGCCGTAGACCATGGACCGTGGCTCCATGGGGTGCGAACCCAGGACCTTCTGCGTGTAAAGCAGACATGCTAACTGCTACACTATGGCACCACGTCCTATACAACTTTTCTTAACCGGGTCTTACCCGTAACCGGTAGTCATCCACCGTCCAGATGCGGCTCGCAAAATCGTTTGAAGCTGCTAAGAGGTAAGATCCCTGTAGGAGTAAAAGGTGGAAAACACGTGTTACCTAAAATAGAGGGATTTGGATCACACTCCACAACCTCCCCAATAATCAAGTCCAAGGTCTAGGTGTCCAAAACTGCACACCTGACCCAAACTTCACCCGTTACCGCCAGTATTCTATCAACTCGCCCATCCCTTTACTCAGACCTTGCTCCTGCACTCACTCAGTCTCACCTGAACGTTGCAGACCCTCCAGCTCAAAATGGAACTCAGCCCTCCGAGTTCACGTCCCCCTGCCACCCGCCTTCGGTAGCAGCAAATACTGATTCTCCACACACTGTCCCAGCCAGAGAGCCCAGAGTACTCGACTCTCCGCTTGCCTCACTCCCAGCCACCCCCTTGGAGGCCTGCGCATCTCCGGCGCGTCTGGCTGGATGTTCTCCTGTCCACCCGCAACGCCTCGGCCCAGCCCGGGCCCTCGTCAAGTCCACAGACACTGACTGGCTGGTTAGTTACCGCAGACCTGACTCCCCCGCCCAGTCTTCTACTCGGTCCCAATCAGCGCGGACTTTGTAATCTACCTGCATCCTTCTCTAACACTGATTTTACTTAAGACAGAGAATAGCAGAGAAGTCAGGTAAGTTATTTTTTAATTTTCAAGAACCAGATTCTTAAATTGTTTCTAAAAACCTCTAAATCCACCTATTTCCCTGGGTATCAGATACTTACAGCACTATCGAATTCGATGCTTGTAATTCCTGCATTACTGCCGGAGAGGGAACCCTTGAACTCACATTTGTCTAGATAAAAACAAAGATCGAGAAAAGAAAGGAAGGTAAAGCCAATACGTAGGTTAAAATGAAGTGCCTGAAACACAGTGGAAGCCAATGACACCGTCGAAATGGCAATGTACCTGCATCATCACAGAATCAACTAGCAGGACAAACAGAACGCGAGACCAAAATACACTGTCAGTTTCTAAGAGCAATGAATATGTAAGTGGATGCAGGGTCTAGCCCAGCATTTTGCATGTGTTAAGTTGTTCTTTAAAAAAAAAAAAAAATTTAGTATCATCTATTCCCTTTACAAAGGGAAATAAAATTTAAAAACATGTCAATCGACTTAGAGACAGAGTTCAATTTGTTATTCTATTAAAATTTTCCAATTTACATAAATTTGTCACTAGGTTTGACCGGTATTTCTGCCAACTCAACTATCGCTTCTGTAGAAGTGGACCATCAAATTTTCAGAATCCAGGTGTAATAATTCTCAAGATTTGAACATTTTTTTAAAAAGTTATGTATGAGTGGCTAGTCATCCGAATTCCAATTACACTAGTTTGAGGTTTCTGTATTTGTCCTTACATTTATTCTACATCCCTGAATCCTAAGATTCTGGCCATCCAACTGCCTGCCAATGCTCCCTCCCTCTGCCTAGCCTCTTCCACCAACAGAAGCAGCCACATGCTCCTGGGTGCTGCTCTCACGGCGCTGGCCCCCAATGCGGAAACGTCAACGATGCGGGCACAAGCTCAGAAGACTCTAAGTCTCAATGACGATGTGATTAAACTTGTTTAAAGGGAAGTTTAAGGATGGCCTACAAAGACAAGCTGGGAGAATAATTAGGAAACTATTCTAATGAAATCCCTAAGAGAGGAGCATAGGATAGGAATCATTTCAATAACTAGCCTTATCTCTGACTCGGTACTTCTAAATATTAAGTATGATGCTAGGAATACTGGTTTGAAGCTGTCAAATACATTTAGGGCTGGGATTATTAACCGGGTTAATGAACCCTGCCTCTTAAGGTATTTGCAAAATATAGCACATTTAAAGCCTCTTTCTGGGTCCTAGTTTTCATTAGATTTTCAAGAGTCAAAAAAGGCCACTATCTATGAAGGTTTTTATTTAGATTAGACGTTTACACACAGAAATATTACTGCGAATTCTAAGAAATATCTCTGGCTTATGCCTAAAATACTGGTCTATTTGTCTGGCAGTTAACACAGTGTTGAAATTTAAGAAATGATCAATAAATGCTACTGTACACAAGAGATCGATCTCGAAAGACCAAATACCTTGCCAAAGCCTTTACCCAGAAGGCACCGGGGAGGCTCTGTCAACCGCATTTCTGTAAGTAATTCCCAACGCAGCTCCTGCCTGATAGAGTGAACGGCTGTTCCTACCGGCTGGAAAGTGCCATTCTTCTGATATTTTAAATGGGTAAAAAACAGGACACCCCGAACTATTCCATAAATGGCCTCCTGGACTTGATCTCTTCCAAGATTCAGCAAATATTCACCAAGGGGAACAAAACTCTGGATTGAATAAGATGTCTGTGGAAGGAAGGCCCTGTAAGTCAGGACATGACTTGTTATTTGTTCCCAAAAACTATAAGAAATGCTGCCAAACATTTTATGTTATTTCTCTAGACCCAGAAGAAACTTCTCATTTTATTAACAAATTATGCTCTGGCACATTATGTCAATATTAATTTCGATTAGTGTTTACTTCCCCTTTAGCAGCAAAAAGGTAACATAACACTGTTACTGAAGGCTGGTGTCTCTCATTTTCTTATACTGACCAAGGAGTGAAACAAAAATTTCTTATATTATTTCTATTTAGTTGCAAGACATAATCAAACAGACTATCTTTTTAGATTTTCAGAAATCGAATCTTACGAAATTTCTGTTCTTATGATATAGTTTTATTGTTATCTTGTTAACAGTTTCAAGCAACTGTCCTTCATAAGGTGTTACTGGGTAAAACAGCACAAATTCTAATGGGCAACCAGAGATTTAACCACTGAGGCACTTTCCTGAAAAATCAAAGGCAGGGCACACGAGTTTGGTGCTGTACTGATCATGTGTTCTGACCAAAGCCACCAATAGGTTGCTCTTGCTCTAAATACATCAAAAGCATAGGCTTCTGCAGCAGCTCTCAATTCAGGGGAGGCTGAGGTGGAAAGACCATGGGACCTGCAGCCAGAAGACCCAGCTCAGCTCCTAGGTTCCCCCACCCCCTTGTAAATCAAGTCATGTCTCTTGAGATTTCAAATAGAGGTGATGCCCACCCTCCTCACTGCACAGGGCTACGGCGCGCGTCAGAGGAAACAACACAGCAAAGCCCCGCTGGGGCTGTTCATTATTGGACAGTGAACAGTATGTGCTGTAACTATGGAAACTTGACAAAACGGTTCCTTCGACCTATTCTTGCTTTATTAAAAGTATATTTACTTAACCGAATCTCCAAATGTAAAATTGGGGTAAGTCTCAGGTTCAGAATTCTAAGAGATGGTTTCATTAACTCCGATTTCTGGTTTTAATGCCATCCCATTTCTGAGTGATCTGAGGTTATTTTTGAAACAAGGTCCAATCAAAGACCGAGTCTTGACCTTCGGCCCCTGGTCTGATAAGCTTTGTTAAATATGTTTTCTCTGGGTGATGGCCACTGGCATTATTAAATGCATAAGCCACAGTGTACTGTGTAGTTTAACTATAGCATCCACGACTGTTCAAGTTTTAATTTTCCTTCTACAACTTGTACTGTCTTAGAAGATGTTCCAATTAGCGTATATCTGAAAAACACAAACATACCCATAACTAAAGTGTTTTCTAGTCACTACTTGGAAACGCAGAGCAAACGCCACTCAGCTGTAAGTGT